ACAGAAAGCCACGGCAGCTTTTTGAGAGATCTCTGAGCTCATGGATTCTGAGGTGAGGATCATACTGCCAAGGAAGAGGGGGACAAGCATGGGTTTGTCAGACAGGAATGCAGACAACCCTCAAATTCTTATACATGAGGGGAGAAAGCATATGGTAATGATAAGAGAAGGAGAGAAGGAGGAGAGAAGGAGGAGAGAAGGAGGAGAGAAGGAGGAGAGAAGGAGGAGAGAAGGAAAGAAGAAGGAAAGAAGAAGGAAAGAAGAAGGAAAGAAGAAGGAAAGAAGAAGGAAAGAAGAAGGAAAGAAGAAGGAAAGAAGAAGGAAAGAAGAAGGAAAGGATCCTGACTGCTATGCAATTATTTCAGCCCAAAATCTCAGGCATCTCACATCAAATAAATCACTAATTCATTTTGGTGCTGCCATCCCAAGAAAGCCACACACTGTTTATGACTTGACTGCCAAAATTTGCTGGACAGGATGAGTGCTGAGGGCTCACACAGAACAGGAAGCGGTGTCCTATTTCTACGACAGAAAAGTTCTCCCCGTGCAGTTTGTGAACTCAGAGGAGCATGAAAAACCAGCACAAAGACCACTCTCATACCCTGCAGAATTCCAAGTTACAGATTCCCTGTGGGGTAGCACACTGAGAGACACCAAGCTCAGTTTCTGTTCTAAGAACTCTGCAGTAGCCATAGCTTTCCATCCCAAGAGACATTCCTTCAGCCCAGCACTGGAAGTTTGTGCTGAGCTATGTTGCCTCCGCTCCTTCTGCTTTAACCCTTTCCTCTCTTTCCCAAAGATTTTGCTGAACACTCATGCAGCTGATAGATACTTTCAAGGACAGAGCAGTAAACCCTCTTCCTTTCAACAACACACGCAAACTTTTCAAAACACTCTCAACTTTTCAAAACAACTCTCAATGCATCTCAGATTGACGCATCCCTGTTTCCCATATCACAGTCAATTTCCACATGCAGAAATGCAGCTTTGTTCTGCTGAGCCAGACCTCCTAGGCCACACAAACTATTAGGAATTGTATAAATACATTTAATAATGGCATGGCTGCAGAATACAAACACACAGTGGTTAACAAAGCAAGCACTGGACTCAGAACCAGGGGAGCTGGACTGTATTGCTGGTTCTGCTTGCAACAAGGAGCTAATCCTGCCATCCTTGTTTTTCCATCTCTAGAATGATAGAAGAGGACATTTACCTCTTTTGTGAAGGCTTTAGAGCTCTAAAGATGAAAAGGATTCTGTAAGAACAAAGCACTGGATCAGGAACCTTGATACCAAGATAACAATTAAATTATTCAGTAAACTTCTGAGTTTTTATAAGGAATAAAAATCATAGACCAGATGAGTTCAGTAACAAAAAAAAAAAAAAGTTATTTACTTCTGCCCTAAGTCTACAGGGAAAGCACAGCTGCAGCTGCATTTTAGGACAAGGAATGAATTTATCCTTAGGCTGTGATTTGCGAAATCTTACTGTGTCACTTCCTGTTAAGACAGTGTCTAAGAAAATACCATTAATATGGGGATCAAATAGAAGAAAAAACAGTGAACAATTTAACAGTGGATAATATAATCTCTGTATTAAATTTACAGAAGAATTTTTTTTTAATTCTATCAGCTACAAAGAACTATGTTGAGAGCTTTTGCACAGATACAAAAGAACATTCAAGAGAGAAGACAGGTATCATTACTCTCACATTACTCTGGGGAAGCTGAGGCACAGGAAAGATGAGGCATTTTCTCTTTGAGCCATGCCAAAAGTCATGGTTCAGAAAACAGCTAATTCCAAACTCCTCTTCCTAACCAATTTACCTCATTCTCCTTCCCAGCTCCCAGTTTTCTATCTCTAGTGCATTCTAAAACCTTACTAAAACCATGGAAGATTTGGGATGTGCAAGGAAGGCAGGATAGCACAGAGATTCTTTGTTTTAATTATGCCACTATAGCCAAAGAATTCCCAGCACCCCCATAGATGCACACTAACTGAATTAAGTAATGTACATAAAGATAGTTATACCAGAATCACACTGTGAAGGGAAACATTACACGCAACAAGACGAAATCTCCTCCTAATTGCCACTTCTCTAATGAAGACAGAGATAATTATCCAAACTTCTTGGCAGAGTGACAGTGTATGAACCACTTAGTGCAGCTGACATTCTGAAGCTGCCCTAATCCTCTGCTCTTCTACCAGCTCCTCTAGAGCTTCTACCAGCTGTTTACGGAGGGAGACAGACTGATGCTATTTTAGGAGCATCCCTGATCTTGAGTCACAGCGCGGCCAGTCTGGGATCAAATGCCCTCCGGTTAGCTAATTCTCGAACCGCCTAAGTTCAAAAGCAGGGAGGGGCTGACCCAGGCGGGATGCAACCCGCGGCACCGAGAGTCCTCCACCGGGATGAAACGCTGTCTGACCGAACTCCGAGCTGCCCGAGGCTCCGGGTGCCTCCCAGGGGCTCGCACCCGGCTCGGGCAGCGCCGGGCAGCGCCAGCAGGACGAGGCCAGCAGCGGCACCGCGTCCACCAGCCGTCCCCCCGGTGCCCCGAGCAGCCCCCCTTACCTTCCTGCTGCGAGGCACGGCCACCCCCCGCCCCGAGCAGCGCCAGCACCGCCCCGAGCAGCAGCGGCCCCGCCGGAGGCACCATGGAGGCGGCTTCACCCTCCGCACCGCGCTCCGGGAGCGGCACTGGGCGGCGGCGGTGCTGGGGCCGGGCCGGGCTGCCGGAGCTGTGCCACGCACCAGACCCGCCCGGCCGAGCGCAGGAGGAGGCGGGAGGCGGTGGCTCCTCCTCCGGGCAGCCCCGGCCCGCAAGAGGCGGGAGGGCAGCCGGGGCAGGGCTGGGAGCAGCGCTGGGAGCGCGTGGGGAGCGAGGGAGCGCCGGGAGGAGCTCGTGGGTTGGATCCCGGAGCTGCAGCGGCTTTGCCCCGGCTGCGGGAACCAGCGGGGCTTGGCGGCATGCGGGGCACCTGGGGCAGCAGAGGGGCAAACAGGCATTGAGCGGTGGAAACCCAGGGTACCGGGAATATTTCTCTGAGTCACCCTCTGGCCAGCTTCAACTACTGCTGGCTGACACTTATGGGATATTTATGTATAAAAAGCAAGCCACAAATGGATTATAATGTTATTAACAGTGCTAGAAACTCAACGCCTTATTAAATACCTTCTTCATACTTTCTTCCTACCTGTCACCTCCCATGTTTCCTTGGTGAACACAAAATCTGCCCTGGTTTTGTTTCCTGTAGTAGCTGGTTTTCTGTGGCTTTATACACCTCTTTAAGTCCTACATTAATCTCTGTGGCCTTGTGCTGGGTTTTCTTGCTGTAGCCCTGATCACTTATCTAGGCATCTTCTTCTGTTTCATTCTGCCCTTGAGAATAAGCAAAATAATCCTGTCTTGGAAAGTTACACATCTTAAAAATAACATTTGCTTTATGTCACTTCTACACTGCAGTGAATGTAAGGTTTAGATGTAGGGAAACCCTTCTGAGCCTGCAGGACACCAGATGAGTTACCACTGACACTGATCCTATGTGAGGCCTGTCAGTAAATCATCTCTTTAAATTAACAGAAATCACAGATATAACAGGGTTCAGGTTAAAAACAAACAAAGGAGGCATGAGGAGAAAAAAAATCAAGCACTGTAGCTAACAGGTATTCTCCATGATCCATAACAGCATCATCCTGATGAATTCCCATCACTGTTTGTTTGTTCACTGAGAATATTCTTGAGTGTGTTCAAAGCACTGTTCCTTCCATTCCTTCTCCCCAGTGCAGGAATTCCCTCATCATTAACAGGCAAACAGAACAGTTGTGCTGAAGCCTTGAGCATTCCAGGCAACAACACTAGTTCTCTCTAAGATGATGATTTCAGAAAACTTCCTTTTGCAAAGCTGCCAGTTTTCCTAAAAAAAAAAAAAAAAAAAAAAGAACATACTTTCACTTCAGATTTTTTCAGTACTTTGCAGGCTCAGACAAAGCCTGTGATAAATCTGTAGCAGTTTCAACAGTTTAGGGTGGGAGCCACAGCATAGATGTTCCATCCTTCACCTTCAGACCTCAGACTGAGACATGCAACTCAACATGGATTTTCAAAATTGCGAGTTTCTCACTTTAATGAAGTTAAATCTCTCCAGCCTAAAATGAAAGCGGTTTTGCACACTCCAAACCATGAATGCCTCATTGTTTCTGCTACTGTACCCAGGCTGTCTCTTTGACAGCTTTGTATTCTGCAGCTATGCCAACCCAGCGAGCACATTTATTCCCCCTCTGTGTGTGCTTGTGCTGGCTGCAGCCGGCTGCCTGTCGTGTTAAGCAGAGCCAGCTGCCGATGCAGATGTTGCAGTGAGTACGTGCAGCACGTGCTCCGGGCGGAGCAGCGGCTCCTGAGAACTGGAAGGGTCAGAGCTCTGCTCTTACAGCAGCCTCAGAGCTTGAAACCTGCCAGGAATGGGATCTCACCCACCGTTCTGGGATCCCAGTTGTGAAGAATGTGTATTTTATGATTGGCTTTTTGCAAGTATTAAAATGAATATTGTATGTGTAATGTTAGAAAGTTATGCTGTATTCATTTTCTTATTAAATAGTTTTAGGTTATAACACAATGTTAAAATAGAAACTATGCTATGTAAGGTATTTGTTTAAGAAAGGACTTGCACCAGATAGAAGCCACAGGACACCTAAATCTTTCAGAGAAAGGGAATTTATTGCTCCCTTATCAGCAGAAAACGAACTTCTTCCCACCTCGCTCAGACAGGAAGACAGCATGAGGATTAAGAGGAAGAAGCTGACACTGACCAGACAGAATCCTGTGTTTGAAAAGAATTTATGCATCATGTGTGAGATGTATGAATATGCAACAGGCGATTGTTTTTAAGGGTTAAGCCTCTGATAACCGGGGTCCTTTTTCGGGCTCGTGTTGCCCAGAAAAAGGTACCCGGATGTCCATATCTCTTTGTTTTTACGGCCGCGTCTCCCGGCCAAGCCCCCCTGAGGGCCGGAGAGCGCGGCTGTCGCAAAGCGCTGCAAAGCGCCGCCAAGCGCGGCGGAGCTGCCGTGAGGAGCGGCGGCGATGGCGGCCTAGGGCCGGTGCGGCGGGGCCGGGGCCGGGAAGGGCTGGGCCGGGGCTCCCCCGCCGCCGCCGCCCATGTGGCTGCAGCAGCGGCTGAAGGGGCTGCCGGGGCTGCTGTCCAGCAGCTGGGCGCGGCGCCTGCTGCTGCTGCTGGTGCTGTTGCTCGTCGCCTACTGGTACCTGGGCGCGGCGCGGGCGCGGGGCGCGGGGCGCGGGGCCGAGCCCTGGGGTCCCGCCGCGCTCTGCGTTCAGGCGGCCTCGGGCGCCTGGCGGGAGCAGACCCAGCGCGGCGATGCGCTGCCGCTGCCTGAGGAGGCGGCCGGGGCCGGCGGGCCCCCGGGGCTGGCGGTGGCAGGCAACGGGTTCCTGCTGCTGGACGTGTCGGCCGGGCGGCTCTGGGTGCGGCCCGCGGGGCCCGCCGGGGGCCCGGCGCTCGCCACCGAGTACCCGGCGCTGGTGCGGCTGAGGGCGCTGGGCGGGCGCGGCGAGGCGCGGGCGGCGCTGGCGGCGCTGCGGGACGGGGCCGTGCGGAGGCTGCGCTGCGTCCAGACCGGGCCCGGGGCCGGCGCCGGGGACTGCGTGACGGTGCGGGAGGAGGTGGTGGCCCACCGGAGCCGGCCGCACCTCTACCTGCAGCGCATCCGCATCGCCAACCCCACCGCGCGGGTGGCCGCCTTCGAGGCCTCGGCTCCCGCCGCCGCGTCCGCGCTGGGCGGGCGCTTCACCACCAGCCTGGAGAAGGTGGAGGAGCGGCAGTTCCTGCTCTCCTCCGGCCGCCTGCTGCTGGCCGGCAGCCCCAAGGTGGTGCTGGTGGTGGTGGCTGCCAAGAAGCTCGTGAGCCGGGTGCAGGTCGCGCCCGAGTCGCACTTTGACGAGACCGTGCTGTCCGTGGTGTACACCTCGGAGCCCATCGAGGTGTCCAGGCTGGAGGAGACCTTCAGCAAGCTGAGGGAGGCGGCCAAGAAAGAGATGCTGGAGGTGATGCAGATGGGGGTGGAAGATCTTTTCCAGGAGCACCAGCAGACCTGGTCTGACTTGTTCATTTCAGGTAAGGAAAGTGATGCTCAACTTCCATGGGGTTGCTTTAGGGGGTGTCTGAAAGCTCAGTGTCCTGGTTGCTGTAAGGTCCCCAGAGGCTCTGATCTTCCTGGTGGGTTGTGGGATAGTAAAACAGTGTTCATGGTTTGGAACCCAGCTTACCTTGCGAAGTGGAGTACACCTGACTGTGTATAGAAAGTGATGGAAGAACATTTATAATCGTTATTCTGTGTGTGCTGCTTTTGTGGCTTCAGGAACTTCACTGATTTGCCCTGCATGCCAGCTGGAAATAAAGTTGACCTTCAGTGACAGCATAAAAGGCAGATTCTGCATGGAGGTTAAGAGTTGTTCTACAGAGATGCTTTTTCTTAAGATTTTAATGTCTTACATAAAAGAGTAGCTGACCAAATAATGTAGGACTTGCTATTTTATAAAAAGATTATGTTCTTTTGACAGATCATTCTTGCAGAGTCATGACGACAGGCCTGTAAGGCATCTGTATTATTAATTATCTTTGTCTTTACTGGGAGCTTGGCTTTCAAACTCCCAAGTAGCAGAGAGAGTATCTTTTTAGACAAACACAAGGAAACATTTCACTATGGTGTTTTATGGACACAGGTTTCTTAAATGTCATAAAGAACACCATATTGAACATCAATGTGCATGTTTGATCTTCTTTTCCTCCTAGTTAATTTCTGTCTGTTGGTTGTTTTCTTTTGCTACAGGGATTGAAATGAGGAAGATCACAGATGCACACACCCCATCCAGTGAGACTGTCAACATGACCCTGTACTACGTGCTGTCCACTGTGCCAGCCCCCCTGCTAGACCCCCTCATTGCTGGTGAGGACAGGGAGAAGATTGAAGCCAGCCTGAACTACGCTGACCACTGCTTCAGCGGCCACGCCACCATGCACGCCGAGAACCTGTGGCCACCAAAGCTCACCAGTGTCACCCAGATCCTGCAGCTCTCAGACCTGTGGAAGCTGACTCTCCAAAAACGGGGATGCAAGGGTCTTGTGGCAGCTGGAGTCCACGGACTCATGCAGGGAATGGTGCTTAGTTTTGGGGGGCTGCAGTTCACAGAAAACCATCTTCAGTTTCAGGCTGACCCTGACGTGCTTCATAACAGCTATTCCTTACGTGGGATCCATTACAATAAGGATTTGATCAGTTTAGCTGTTCTCCTGGATGCTGAAGGAAAGCCCTTCTTGCATGTGTCTGTGAAGTTCCAGGACAAGCCTGTCAGACTGTATGCATGTGAGGCAGGCTGTATGAACGAGCCCGTGGAGCTCACCTCAGAGGCACGAGGCCACACCTTCCCTGTCATGGTGACTCAGCCCATCACACCACTGCTTTATATATCAACAGATTTGGTCCACTTGCAGGACTTAAGACACACACTCCACCTAAAAGCTATTCTGGCTCATGAGGAACACATGGCCAAGCAATACCCAGGCTTACCCTTCCTGTTCTGGTTCAGTGTGGCCTCCTTAATTACTTTGTTTCATTTGTTTCTGTTCAAACTGATCTACAACGAGTATTGTGGGCCGGGAGCCAAGCCCCTCTTCAGGAGTAAGGTATAAAACTGCTGCTTTTGCCTGCTGTCCACTGAGTGTTGTCAGCCTGATGTTGTGTCAGCTGTGCCTGGGCAGGCTCTCTCTTGGACTGTGAGGATTTTCAGTCTCTCTCGAAACAAGCAGTCTGTGACCTCTTCTTGCAGGGGGGATCAGGGCAGGGATTGGAGCAGTAGGGCTCGCAGTCGTTAGAAAAGATTAACTCATCATCTGTCCTTAGACATTTGTGAGGCTGCAGGTGGAGGCAGACACAGCTTTCTGTCCTTTTCCCACACATCAGTGTAGGACATCGCTTGTTTCTAGGCCAGCAGTTGCAGTTGTCATGAGGTGATGCTTCTTGTTATTCAGTAGCAGAAAGCTTGTGAGAGAGCTGCTGTACTTGTCTGTACTGCTGTGTAGAGACCTGCACACTGCCTGCCTGCTCTGAATGTGTGACCTGTCACACAGGAGCACCCAGAGGCAGGCTGGTGTTGGAGGTGAAGGTGCTGACTTGCTGGGATTTGTGGCACATGTTCATACTGCAGACACTGTGCAGCCCTCCATCAAACCACACTTACCACCATCACTTTGGGAGGATGCTGAATTGGTGTTTCTCCCAGTCAGACAAAATACAAAGCTGTGTTAAGGAAAGTACTCAGTGCTTTTACTGTGAGTTGAAGGTTCTGGCTCCAAGCTCTGGAGCCAGAGCTCCAAGCTCCTCTTACCTGGATGTAAAGAATTTCAAGTTGTTTTGAGTTGCCTTGGAAAACTCATTTGCTGTAAAAATTTAGCACAGAATAGACAGTAGATGGTGAGTTCTGCTCTTAGTACTGGGACTTTGTGAGTTTGTGTTCATATGAAGGGGAAATGCAAGACCAGAGTGGGTGTGCTGTGTGAACTAGTTGTGCTGTTCAGAGGCTTCCCTCCTGAGGGCTGAACTGAGTTAAATGTAGGTTTCATTTAGAAAAAAAGGAGATGATAGTTAAACGGAGCTGTCAGAGGAAAAGTTCTAGCTATAGATTGTACTGTTACTCCAAATTATAAAATCAACTTGATTTTGGATAGCTCAGGCTGAACAGAAGGTACTGGACTAAACTTGACAGCTGCTATGTAAGGGGTCTTTAAAGTGAGCTGGATGTTTCCATGTCAGCTCACTGGTTTTGTCATTTTGAGCACTGGAGATCAAGCCTGATCCCAGGCAGGTCTGAATACCTGTGATCCAGTCAAAGATTGAGTGGGAGGTGCTTGTAGCCAGACAAACTAACCTAGGAAGAGGTAGGATAGAAATGTCTATCAGACGACTGCAGTTCCAAGCCTCTGATCATGTGCAAAGCCTCAGTGCAAAGGGAGGAAGGGGTTAGGAGGTGATGTCAGTTATTGTGCAACAGCTGTGCCCAGACATGAGCCTGAAATGTGTCCTTGGAATTATGTAATTATGTCCTTTCACTGTTGTCTATCCAGTTGCCTTTGTCATCTCCAAGACTTGCCTTCTGCCTTTTACCAAGTGACTTGTTAACCATTGCTGCAGGTGACTGTCCCCGACTCTGCCCGCTGAAGTGCCCCGAGGCCTCAGAGCCACAGCGCAGGGCTGACCTGACACCTCATCCTCCTGGGCACTGCAGAGCAAACAGCTCTGCTGCCTCCTCTTAGTTGGACCTACTTCAAATGAAGGTGATGCAGAACTTGATTCCAGAAACAGGGAAGAAGTGGAAGCCAGCTGAAGCTCAGAATCTGTAGCAGTAAGCAAGATAGATGGTCTTGAAATAACACCCTGTTCCATTAATTGAATGGGAACATCCCCACATCCAAGTGAACTTAGTCCTGCTTTCAGCCTCCATTTGCACAAGACACCTGACAATGTTGCAGCTGAGAACAAGGACCATTTGAAAGCAACAATCCTTTTGTGCCTTGTTATTACAGGAATCTGAGGCTTGGAAGGTGTGGTGATTCAGTTGTTTATGCCAGAAGCTTGTGTAACAGATGTTTCCTTTCCCTGCAAGCTGTTCAGTTCCGTAGGAGTTCTCCATTTGGTGAAAATACTTGAAGATATACTAAGACCTTTGATATTTTGATCTGTTGGGGTTTTTTTTAATTCTACAGAAAAAATAAAGGATGATGATTCCCTTCTGAGAGTTAACTAGAAAACTTTAGTGTACTTCCTTTCTGGTATACAGTTTGTAATTTATTGCTTGGGGGGAGGGGGAGTATGTTAATTTTTCCTCCACTTCAGTAACAGTCAATTGACCTGTTGATATCTAACAATCCTAACTGCTGATAAGTTCTCTTAACAGGTGTTTCAGCCTTTATGACTGTAGAGTGCAAAATCAATTTAATGAAATTGTTTTCTGGACATGCACTTGGAAATGCTGATCTACACGTTTCCTATTCTAAGCCTATTGAGACTTTGTGCATTGATTTGTTTTGGCTATGGGGGAAGACACCCCACTTCCTAGTGACTTACAGATTGGTTGGTTTTAAAATACCAAAGCTGTTGTTTCTAAATAAATATCTTTCAGTCTAAGCTGATTGCTGAAGTGTGGTTGGGGTTTTTGTTCGTTTTGTGTCTGTTCTCTCTTGCCATTGCTCCCCACCCAGTTTAGATAAGCAGAGCCTTATTTTACATCTGTGGCCAGTATTGACTGCAAATACAGTGTGGAAAATAATATATAATGGATATAAGCCAGATATAAGACAATTTGGAAGGCACAACAAGTGGCAGAAACACACAGAGTAAAGCTCATCTCCATTTCCTTGCTCAGTATAACCTTGTTCTATCCTGAGGAATGAAGGCCAAGCTTTACTTTGAAGCACACAGAAATGATCCCAGGGAACCATCAAGCAGTAGATTTAACTGCCATCCAGCAAGTAATAGATTTGGCACAGTTGGTGGGCCCAAGGGAAAACTGGGTCAGGATTTAACTTCACATTTTCAGAGCGGTTACTGTCTGGTTGCAGATGAAAAACATTCCTCAGGAAAGCAGATTTCAGTGTCTAACTTTTCTGCAGACAATTCCATTTACTAATCAGTATAGCAGAGTTACTGCCCTTCAAGGGAATGAAGACAGGGAAGCAACAGAGTCCATTTTAAGTTGTGCACAGGTACATTGTGTATTGAAGGAGATATTTACTATTCTGCTTTAACAGAACACACCAGAAGCTCCTTTTTCTCACCAAAGTTCCATGAGCTGCTTAGTTTCTGTGAAACATCTGGCATGAAGGTGATCAGAGCTTCCAGGGGGCTACTTCCAAGCCCTCCTGGTATCATCTGGAGGCTGAGCCATTTGATGTTTCCTGGCAGAATTGCCAGCAGCATGACACCATCCATGGAGTCCAAGGAAGACTGTTTAGGCCTGGAAAAGATGGATAAGCTACCATCACATAAAGCATGGATAGAACAAAAAACAGCTTGAGAGTGTTTTACATTAAATATATTAGGATTCTTATGAGAATTTCCTCCATAACAAAAGAACTGTTTCAAAATTAGTCCATGAAGAAGGGAAAAAAGAAACAGCATTTCTCTATTTACAGTGTGCAAGAGAGCAGGTGGTTATATTTGTGAAATGCAGAAATGCTTAAAGAACTAAACAAAATTCCACATTTACAGTCACACAACAAACAAAGCAAGTTAAAATAGTAACTGACCATCCAAAATTTATACTTTTAGTTGGAATTCAGCAAAAATTATAGTGACATGGAAGTTAAACTGAGCAGCATAACATTGTTTAGCTTGTAAATTCTGACACTATGAAAAGAGCCAACAAATTAATGGAAAAAAATTTAGAATCTCAATTCTGCACTGTTAATCCTGGTTTCTGCTTTTGTCAGATAATAAATACAAGATGCCAGAACAGGGTTTGGTTGATCCAATTTGCAATTCAAAATGCAGCTTTCTCAAGTACTATTGTCTGGGTAGGAAAATACATTTTTGAGAAACAGATAAAACAGCAAAGCATTCTATATTTCTGCCTTCCACATGTGTGCTCCAGGCATCTTTCATCCAGTGCAGTACCTACTGCTGAGTGGAAGCTCTGGAAATCAGGGATTTTGCTGTTTATTAATCCTGACATTAAACATTAGATTTATTTCAGCATTTTTGAACCCCTTGTTTGGTGTCTGTGTACAACACAACTCTGGTTGTAAAACTGGCATTATGATATTTGTTTCCATTCTAGTAAGTTTGTTCCCTATGAGTGTCCTGGTTTATGGGATGGAGGTGTTTGGTTTTCAAAAAACCAGCAACAGTTTCTCAATGGTTGGTGGATGGAAAGGTATCAGGGGATGGAAAATTCCTCCAGTAGAAGATAAAAAGTAAAAAGAGACAAGGGTGAGCATTGATATCTAGTCAATGATCTCAAATGTCAGTAATAATTAGGACACTCCCTTTAATGGCAGCATGTCTGGAGTGGTGTAAATGCCTGCTCTTGCTGCTTTGTCCTGTGAGTAGAAGTGCTTTGCTCTTCTCACTGACGAGCTCACAGTGTGTTACAGCAGCTCTGCTCTGGGGGGTACACACGCTCATTTGCAATGCTGCAGGGAGCCCTGCTCTCTTCCAGGGCTACTGATCTAACAAAGGGAAATAGGAAAGGAATGGAGTCTCACTCACCACAACATACCAGGCTTTCTGCTTCATCATGGCCAGCTGTTTCTTTGTATGGCTTGAAGTATGTTCCACTTCAAAGTGATTAGAGTCTGGTTTATTGAAGAAGTCTGGCGTGCTAAAGTACATGCAGCTTGGTCTGGGAAAGAAGATACAGGTTTTCAGGCAGTACAATGTGGTAGATACCATTCAGTTACACAGAAAACAAAACAAAAGAAAAGGAGACCCTGGACCAAAATAAAATCCCAAGGAGTTGTATAATTGTACAATAACTAAGGTAGGAGGGGAGCCTCTGGAGATGAGCTAATGCAACCCCACCAACATGTCTGAACCTATCACTGTCCCAACAGAGCAGACACTGCTGACCTGCCACCAAGTGTGAGAATAATTAATTTAACATTGTCCTGCTGTGAACACCTTGTGATGAAATTTCAAGGCAGTGGAAAAGCAAACAGCTGCTACAGATAATAAGCAACTAATTTGGAATTATTTTTAACCAAGTTTTTTATATAGCCTGAATCCAAGGTCGACCTAAATGGGGGTTTTTAAACAACTTGTGTATATAAAGAATTATTCCACAGTGACACAAGTTTTCCATTAATATTGGAATAGCTCTGTATTTAAAGTCATGTGTTCCAGAGATAAAGGACAGTATAAAATGGCATGGAGTTGAGCCTGCAGCACCAGGAACTGGCACCATGCTTGGAGTCCTCTTTGCTGTGTTAACTCTGGCACCTGCAGGTACATGTCCAACTTCTGCTTCAATTGGAAAAGATCAAGTTAATTAAAATCTAAAAACAACTTTCTTTTTTTAGACAAATTGAACATTCTGCATCAAAGAAAAAAATACAGCAGAGGATGTTCATTGCAAGGGTCTCTTGAAAGAGTAACTGGGTGCTGTGCTATTTGATATCTTACAGATGTTTTTTGAAACCTACTTTCAAAACACACATCCTATTTGTTTGTCTTCTAGCCTTTGGCTGCGGGGTTCCTGCCTACCCACCTCTTGTGTCCAGAGTTGTTGGAGGGGAAAATGCAAGACCATACAGCTGGCCCTGGCAGGTTGGTGATTCTGTGCTTTCCCTGGAGCAGCTGGGGCTGTGCTATCCCTGCACAGCACAACTGGGCAACACCACCTCTTAGATTCCATTGGATGCATCTTGCCTGACATGTTTTGACCAATCCTAAAGTTTCCAGTCTTCTTTAAAAAAAGCTCTGAATGTGCTGCATTTTGCTGGTGATGTGTAGGCACGCAGACTGTGGTGATTGGGAGTGGGGCTGCTGCAGAACCTCATCCCCAATGGGCACAGCTGTGAGAAGCAGCTTTGAAGGCAGTGAGCCATGGAGTGCCCAGGCACTGACCGAGCAGGGAAGGGACCACAGGGCACACAGTGCAGTGCATGAACATGAGGGTATAAAAGGTTGGGCTAAAGATCAAGAAGGGCAGATGCTTAAAGCTCTCTGGTGTGGTATGGTGTCACTGTGCATGGGAGATTGCTTAAAGCTCTCTGGTGTGGCATGGTGTCACTGTGCATGGGAGAATGCTTAAAGCTCTCTGGTGTGGTATGGTGTCACTGTGCATGGGAGAATGCTTAAAGCTTCTGAAATTGCAGGCTGCTGCTCTGTGTTGTGGCCCTACTGCCTGCAGTGTGTGCTGTGACAATAATGCAGGCTCTTGTTTGAAGTCAAGTAGACTTGGGCTATTTAAGCAAGATGTGTTTTAAAAATCAAGCTTTGGCTGATAGGGAAGGAGGCCAGGAGTTTGAAACTTCAAAGCCTTCCACCATCAGCAAGTTGTGTTCTGGGTGTAGGAACAAAGCACAGTGATGAAAAATGAACAAGTAAAAGCCTGAGCCTTACTTGGTTCCTTGATCCCAGGCCTCCCTTCAGTACAAGTCCAATGGCAAGTGGTACCACACCTGTGGGGGAACCCTCATTGCCACCAACTGGGTGATGACAGCTGCCCACTGCATCAGGTAAGTGATGAAGATAAAGCTGACCCAGGCAGCAGCACGCGAGCAGAAAGAGATGAATGCAAACCATATCAATGCCTTTCTCCTTTTCACAGTTGAAAGCTCTGAGTTTTGCATCATATATTTTAATTAAAAGTCAGGAGAGTGACATCTCTTTATTTTCTTAATGTAAAAGGGGGAAAAAACCCAGTTACCTGATTTATATACTCTTAATTTCCATAAATGAACTACAAACACCTTTCTGTTTTCAAGCTGCTATTAAAATTCCGCTGTGTTGCCTCTTTCTGTAATATATGTCAGTGAGATCCCTAAGTTAACTAATCAATCCACTCCCTGAAGAAATAATCACAAATATTTTGAATATACCATTTTCAGTAAGCTCTTCATATTGTGTGGCAGTGTAACAAATAAATGATCAGGTACAGCAATGTCATTGAATCATCAAAACTGCTTCCACAAAAAAAAAACTCTATTTTGCTCTGGTAGCATATATTATTTTAACATTAATTTGTAGCAAATATCACAGTATGAAACATAAAGGATTCACAGTATGAAACATAAAACATATATGTTTTATAAATCCTGCATTTTATATCTATCAAACAGTTGTTTATTATTGAAGCTATTTATGGCTGTCAAAAAAAGTCCAAATTGTTACTGCACTGAAGAGTATGAGCTGAATCCGGCAAAGATTGGAGATGCCTTGGAGCTGAGAGGACAGCTTAGAGATTAAATGACTGTGAAGTCTAGAACACAATCTTTGCCCTTAGCAAATTACTGGCTCAGCTCCAGACAAACCCTGCCTGTGATGAGAGATCACAGTCAAGGGTATTCTTACTGAATCTCTCAGCTGCATAACTAAGTGTTCATCCTTTTCTTGCCCAGTTCTTCTCTGACATACCGAGTGTTTCTTGGAAAATACGACCTAGCAGTTGAGGAAAAGGGATCAATTGCAGTTTATCCAGAAAAGATCATTGTTAATAAGGCATCATCAAAACTGCTTCCACAAAAAAACCCTCCATTTTGCTCTGGTAGCATATGTTATTTTAACATTAATTTGTAGCAAATATCACAGTATGAAACATAAAGGATTGGCTACATGTTTTATAAATCCTGCATGTTATATCTATCAAACAGTTGTTTATTATTGAAGCTATTTATGGCTGTCAAAAAAAGTCCAAATTGTTACTGCACTGAAGAGTATGAGCTGAATCCGGCAAAGATTGGAGATGCCTTGGAGCTGAGAGGACAGCTTAGAGATTAAATGACTGTGAAGTCTAGAACACAATCTTTGCCCTTAGCAAATTACTGGCTCAGCTCCAGACAAACCCTGCCTGTGATGAGAGATCACAGTCAAGGGTATTCTTACTGAATCTCTCAGCTGCATAACTAAGTGTTCATCCTTTTCTTGCCCAGTTCTTCTCTGACATACCGAGTGTTTCTTGGAAAATACGACCTAGCAGTTGAGGAAAAGGGATCAATTGCAGTTTATCCAGAAAAGATCATTGTTAATAAGGACTGGAATCCACAGGATGTTGCAAATGGGTAAGCTGGTGGCAGGTATTTTTTCAGTTTTTAGGTGGAGGGTAAAAATCAAACTGCCTGAATCCCACCCACCTGGAGTTATGGTAATTAAATTAATGTTTAGAGCCTCCTGTTACCGTGTCCAGTTTCTACCTTCCCACTCAAGAGAATACAAAGCAATTAACAATATTGATTTCTTACTAATTAATAATGTTTCCAGAAGCCATTTTGTATGTTCAAGCTTGGGTCAGAAGCTGTTACATGCAATGACATCTCCTGTACAATGGAAGGGAATGAAGCATTTTGTACAACACACTTTGAAGCCCTCCTTCCAGGAGCAGAGACACAGAATTATGGATCACAATGGATCCATGGAACAGAATTATGGATCACTAATATCCATGTGTGTTCCTGCTGCAGGCTAAGGGCAGTCACAAAGAAATCCCCTCTGTTCCAGTCCTTGGAGTGAGTCCTAACATATGCTTGGTTTTGGTGGAAAAAAAAAAAAAACTATAAAAAACAACTTTCTTCCATCAGGAATACAGGCAGCTCTGCGGGGAACAGCCCTCCAGCCCATGAATTTGCCATGAATTGCTCTGGGGTGCAGGAATCTTTGCTTCTCTTTTGAGTAGGCCAAGTGCTGTGTAACTGCTGAGTACTCAGGCTGTTGTGTCTTAATCCATTTTGCAAACCTTTTCACCTTCCCTTTCTCTCCAACATGTGTTACCACACACGTGTGCGTGTCCCCACAGGTATGACATTGCTCTGATCAAACTCTCTGAGCACGTCACCTTGAGTGACAAGATCCAGCTGGCCTGCCTGCCCCCTGCCCAGAGCATCCTGTCCTCCAACACTGCCTGCTACGTGACAGGCTGGGGAAGACTGCAGAGTGAGTACCTGGGGTTTGCCAAACCGTGAAATAAAAAAAAACAACTTTCAGAAGTTCCTTCTCATCTTAGATTGATGGCAGAGAGAGTTAATGGTGCTCAAGGTCCCCTCTAAACTCAGTGCAGTGAGGTAGTTTATTATATTAGGCCCCACTTCACTCACACATTATGATTTTTCCCTTTGAAATTTATTTTCCTTGTAGCAGAGCTGGTAATGCACCTGAGGGGCCTTTATTGAGCTTTTAGGAGCTATTGTAATGCAAATGTTAATAGTGTGCAGGCAGGTGCATTTGCCAGTCCCAACACACCTGCTGAATATCCAAAGACACATGAGGGAATAGATGTGAAGTGAAGAAAATCTCAGAGTTGAGCAGAGGTGTCAGCTTGTCTCAGGAGGCAATTCCTTGAGGGGTAAGTAAATTGCAAACTCCTGGAAATAGAGTAGACCTTTATTCTTCTAACAATGAGACATTTTTTAATGGAATGCAAATTTTTAGTAAGTTAAGGTGTATATGAAAGGGTGAAACTAAGGGACATTTATACCTACAACAGCCTCTCCTTTAACAGAGCCCCTGTGGAGTGTTTTAGCTGGAGTGGTGGTACCCAGACACCAAGAGAAATTTAGCAGAGCAGTTTTATTCTTCCTTCAGTGCCAGCCAGTACCATGACTTTGTTCCTGTTCTCTCTCAGCTGATGGACCCCTTCCTGATGACCTGCAGCAAGGCCTCCTGCTGGTGGTGGATTATGCAACCTGCTCCAAACCTTCCTGGTGGGGAACCATTGTGAAATCCACCATGGTTTGTGCTGGTGGGGATGGAATCATCTCCAGCTGTAACGTGAGTCCACTCTCAGGGCTTGGGGGTAGATTATTGAATTTGCAGGCACCCCTGACCAGGGGAGAGAATGATGCATCTGACTCCATCTTATCAGAAGGTTAATTAATTACTTTATTATACTATATTATTCTTTATTATATTATGTTGTGGCAAACTCTCTGTGTGTGGAGACACAAGGCTTGACTTCATTTTAGAGGGTTGATTTATTATGTTAAATATTATACTAAAATACTACATAAAAACTATACTAAAAGAACAGAGAGAACAGAGAGATCAGAAGGCTACCAAGAACAAGAATAGAATAGAATGCATAACAAAAATCCTGTGACTGCTCACAGCCTTGGTACAGGTGGCTGTGATTGGTCATCAATTGAAAACAATGCACATGGATCAATGGAAGATGCACCTGTTGCATTCCACAGCAGCATAGTTATTGTTTACATTTCTTCTCTGAGGCTCCTCAGCTCCTCAGGAGGGGAAAAATCCTAGGAAAGGATTTTTAATAAAATATCATAACTACAATATTACACTATGTTACATTACATCTAAACTGAATCTGCCAAGCACTCAACCCTGCTCACAACTGCACAGAACCTCGTGACAATCCTGACACACACACACACACCTGGCCCTGACAGGCCAAGGAAACAAAACACCATCACTCTGGTAAACAATCTCCACATTGCATTCTACTTTGGCAGAACACACGCACAGCAAGTGATAAGAATTGTGTTTTCCTTTCTCTGGGCTTCAGAGAATGTGAAACCCAGAAATATTCCTGGGAAGAATTGTGCCTTGCTTTTCTCAGTGAAATGTGGTGCCACTAGACAAACAGACCCGATGGGAAGGAGAGGTTGAAAACCCCACAGAGGAGCTGCTCACGCTGTGACTGTGCTCCCCTTCCTGCCAGGGCGACTCTGGGGGCCCTCTGAACTGCCAAGGGGCTGATGGCAGGTGGGAAGTGCACGGCATCGTCAGCTTTGGCTCCTCTCTCGGCTGCAACTACTACCACAAACCCTCCGTGTTCACCCGGGTCTCTGCCTACATCAGCTGGATCCAGCAGGTGAGCAGCAGCTGCAGGACACACGCCTGCCCTCCTGGGCTGCACTGGGACCTGTGTCCCTGTACGGGACCTGTGCCACTCCTGATTCAACCATTGCCAAGTGAAAGTATCCTCCTCTGAAACAGATAGCAAATATTTTTTCATGTATTGTATTTTTTTCATGTATATTTTTTTCATGTATTTTTTCATGTATTCAAATAAGTTTTGATAATAGGAATGCCTTCTCCCTTTATCCTAGAACTTTATTGTGGTCATAAAGATTTACCATGTATTTCAGAAATGATTACTCAAATTTGCGTTCATCAAGGTTGTGTATACTATATATACACATAATATTTTATATATTAGATAACATATATATTTATATTATATGTTGTAGATATTTATAATATATTACATCTATAATAATATTTATTTTATATATGTATTCATACAATTTATTTTATATATGTATTCATACGGATTGTTGCAATTGCATCCTAAAAGGTAGCACATGCAGCTCAAGTCTGGAATGTCAAACATCTTTTAATTTTATATAAACTTTGAGAAGCAAAAATCTTATTTCACTCATTTAAATCCTGTGACTTGGACACAGCACATACTGTTCACAAATTCCTGCATCTCATGATCTGATTTTTCATTTGTTTTACATTTTTGTAGGTTATGGCAACCAACTAATCCACTGAAGAACTGGATGAGAGATACCAAGAAGGAAAGCAGTTTGAATAAAGTCATAATCATGACACCTTTGATCAAAAAGAATTGGGAAATTTCGTTTTTAACAACATGAGTATTAAACCGAACACTAGTGAAATAAACTGTATTTTTGCAAGATGAAAACAAAACGTGTCTCTGTCCCTTTTTCCTGTCTGTTGGCAAGCCCACAGCCTGTATTTGGGACAACACTGGCTATTTTTCCCTGTGCCTGCCTGGGGCTGGAGCTCGCCATCCTCACCTGGGGGAAGGTGCGAGCCCTCTGCGGAGGGTGGGAAGAGTCAGAGCATCCCCGAACACCTGCGGGGCTCGGGAGGAGGGACAGAGGCAGCGAGAGGAGCCCGGGGCTGGGGCTGGCACTGCCCGGGGGTGGCACTGCCCGGGGCTGGCACTGCCCGGGGCTGGCACTGGCACTGCCCGGGGCTGGCACTGCCCGGGGCTGGCACTGGCACTGCCCGGGGCTGGGACTGGCACCGCCCGGGGCTGGCACTGCCCGGGGCTGGCCATGCCCGGGAAGGCAGCGGAGGAGCCGCCAGCTCCCTGCAGGTGAGTGCGGGAGCAGCGCTTTTACACAGATTTACCACCCGGGCAAGGGCAAGGGCACGACCCAGACCTGTCTCCTCCATGGCCCTGCTGCTCCTTTCTTAGTCATTCGGGTGAAGATCTCATCTTCTTTTTCAGTCATTCGGGTGAAGAGCTCAGTTCCTTTTTTAGTTATTCAGGTGAAGAGCTCAGTTCCTTTTTTAGTCACTCGGGTGAAGAGCTCAGAGTGGGCACTGCCAGGCTGCCACAAACCTGGGGTTTTGGCAAAGCAGAATTGCTGCTTTTAGCTCAGCGCTCAATTAGAGACCGTCTCAATATTTCTTTCCTTGTAGAAGATAGGCAGTGTAAAATCAAGGTGGGTTTTTGTTGTGTTTTTCTTCTCCCCCTGGTGCAGGAGCACTGCACCATGCTTTTACAGAGAGCTTTTACCACTTCTCACCTCAGAGCTGGCAAGGGCAAGACCCAGCTCTGAGAGCAGACCTGTCTCCTCCATGGCCCTGCTGCTCCTTTTTCAGTCATTCAGGTGAAGACCTCATCTCCTTTTTCAGTCATTCGCCGCTTTTAGCCCAGCGCTCAATTAAAGACCTTCCTAATATTTCTTTCCTTGTAGAAGATAGGCAGTGTAAAATCAAGGTGGGTTTTTGTTGTGTTTTTCTTCTCCCCCTGGTGCATACTAGGTGTTTCCAAAAGTGAAAGGAATGATTATAAATGGAGGGCAAGTGACCCAAAGGTAAGCAGTAGGCAGAGTAAGGAAAAGGTTGGAAGTTTCATGTGAGAACAGAAATCCTCAGAGATACCTTTTCTAGGCTTGCAGTTCCTTTTAGTTTGATATTTTGCAGATGTTAAACTTTGGACTGAAAGTAAATATATTATTAACAGATATTGTATTAAATTAGAGAAAGCATGGCTGTTTTTCATCTTTGGGGACAGTATTGTTATCACTTTTCTTCTACTTTACAACCATTGATCACCATTCTGCCCAGCAAGAATTTGTTTTGCTTTATATCAGTCTCTGGTGAGAAATAATAAGTTTTATTGGATGTTATTTACCTGATTAAAACTGTGATTTCCTATATCTGAAAGAACAGGGGATCTGAGGAGGGCTTTTTTCAATGCAGAACTTTGGTTTTTTATCAGTGGAAATAAGGATTACCCAGTTATTCAGGAGTCATCATCTCCAGCATAACATCCTGAGTTTTTTTTCATGAGTATCATTACAGTAAGATTGTAAATGATGGAATAATAGTTTTGAAAATTGAGATCATTAGAGGTCACTTTGCAGTATGGAGCACGGATGTCCATAATGTGCAGTATGAAAGGCAGAAAGGTAATCATGAAGCTCAAACAACAAAAATTGGATTGCAAATGCTTCAGTAAAAACTGAAAACAGAAATGTGATTCATTTCCCATCTGAAATATACAGGCAATATTGTAAAAACCATCTGAGCTCATTTGAACGTATCAACAGAAATTACTCACCATATGGAAATACCTATTAAGAAAAAATTCTCAAAGTCTGATTTAAAAAAATCAACAGTTCCAGTTTGTGATCACTGGAATCACTGGGGGAATAAGCAACCTGTCTTTTCATGAACTTCCTTAAGATTTGGAGAGAAGTATCACAGAGAATAAAACCTACAGAAAATGGTTTTATTAGCTTTTTTTCTCACAGAAAAACTGTATCTTTCATCTGGTTTTTCAGATCATAGTGTGTCAAGGAAGCAGTCTCTTAAATACAGCTTTTCTTTTAAAATTAATATCAGGTGGAACAAAATATAATAAAATACATCTTTAAAAAAGATTCAGGTAATGCATACTCCTTTTGCTTTGTTTCAGAATGCATGGGAATTGTTAAATATCACTGCTAGATCCAGTTGTGGTTTCAGGAGCTGAAAGAAACACTCTCAGGATCAGACAATGCCACTGGTTTTTGGGTTTCTTAAATTTTTTTTAATCCTTTTTCTTTTTAGGTGTTTTCCCTCTTCCAATGCTGGTGGTAGAAAAACAGTTCAAAGGATTTTGACAGCATGCATGGTCTCCCTCTGCAGCCTCCTTGGGGCCATTTCTTTTGATTTGAGCAACAGCTTGGAAATATGGAAAAGCACAGGCAGAGCCCTGCAGGAACTTGCCTCCTGTGAAAACCTTTGGGCTGCTCACCTCATCTCCCTGCTGCAGGAAGAAAGGCACAGCTGGCTGTTCCCAGCAGCAGGCACAAGGAATGGGTCATTCCATTCTCAGCTCTTGGGGAATTTCAACTCCCTCTGTATGGCAAGCGAAGCAGAACTGTACTGTGAGAACTGCCAGTGCAAGGAGGAGAAAATCTCCATGTGTAGGTTTTACATGACTGCCTTGAGACACAAACTGAATATCTCAGGGGTCGCTGAAGCCAGGCAGGTGCTGTCCAGAGCGATCTCTGAACTGCTCCAGCGTTTCAGGAGTCCCCACGAGGACCTGAAAGCCATGAGACACAATCCTGACTGGGCAGACACAGTGGCTTTTAAACTCTTCCTCCAAACCAGAGAAGCTATGCTCAAAGCTCAGCCAGTGCCAGCACCTGTGAGCCTTCAAAGCACGCTGCATCAACACCTTGCCACTCTGAGCTACGCTCTCTTCTCCTCAGAGACTGCACGTAAGTGCTGGGCAGATAATGTCAATCTGTCACTTCATTCCACCCATGAGGAAGGGATCACTTTCTTTACCCCCTTCCTGGGCTTGGGTGACTTTGTGTCCCTGGAGGCCGCGGGGAGGGGACTGCATTCTGCACAGAGCTGTCTGCTGCAGCAGGGACAGGAAAAGCTGCACAGGAAATCCAGGGAAATCCTGTCCACAATGAGCCTCAAGGTCAGCCTCTTGGTGGTTGCCTGTCTCATTTACCCCGTGGTGCTGATGTCCTTCAAGCAAATGACAGATTGGATACACAGTTATGCCAGGAACCTCAAGGAAAAGACAGAGGACTTGAAAAGGGAGAGGCGCCTAGCTGAGGACCTCTTGCACCAGATGTTGCCAAAGTCTGTGGCCAAGCAGCTAAGGAAATGCCAAAAAGTTGAAGCAGAAAACTATGACCAGGTTAGCAAATGGAAATGGTGTTGCCACCATGGGTAGAAAGGTGTTCCTCTAAAATAGCACCTACCTTGTCACAGTCCTGAGAATCCTGGTTTGCACCCAGAGCCGAGTGTTGATGGAAATCCAAATATTCCAGATGGGTTTTGGAAAGAGCTGTGCAATGTGGAGCACCTGGGCTGATGGGGAAGGAAGAAGAGCTGAGATTTCCAAATTCACAGCTTTGGACATCAAACATCCTATACTGGCAAATTGTCTTGGCATTTAGGAGCCTACCCACAACAGCCAGCACCATTGCATCATGAGTTCATAGCAGCAAGAAATGAATCTCCTCCTCTTAAAATATCAAGAATAAAAGAATTGCTGCTGTCAGGGTTGAATTTAGCAGCTGTGCTGCATAGCCCTCAGCCCAAATCCTCATGCTACAATAACTGCAATTCTATTCTCTCTTTTTCACCCCCTTACTTTCAGCTGTGAAACACAGTACTAAAGGTTTGCATTTCATCTGTAGGTGTCATTATCAAAACAACAACCTGTAATTGCACAATTAATTATAATCCACAATAGTCATGACATCAAAAGTGCTGAACCAAGGCAGAGTGAAAAGGTGGCCCTTCCAGATTAATTGGTATTAGCAAGGTATTAAACACTGAGACAATTCAGACAGCACAGAGAAGAAAATTCTTTGCCAACAGCTGCAGCACACATTTCTCTTCCTCAATTCTGTTATTTCTTTTATAAGTTTGATTTTTTAAAAGTGATTTTTTCTGTTAATTACTTGATCATGACAAACATAATTTGAAAATGAAACAAAACCCAGTTAATATTTTCTAATTCAACAAGAGCAGAGCCAGTAACTGAGATTTTATTTCACAGGGGTTTTTGGTACCTAGCTTTATCCCTATCACATTTTAAATCACTTTTAAAGGAAAATGAGACCCTACTCCTATAAGAAGTCTCTTGATCACTGCTCACAAGATTCGAAGCATTTGACTTTCAGTCTCCCATTAGCATGAGGTATTCACAGGTGGTAAACTTTGGAGATAAGAGTAACTTTATCTTTCAAAGTAGTAGAAAAAGATTCAGAATCAGAACTTGTTAATTTAGGATTGTTTCTATTGAGCTGTGCAGGACTGGTACTATGTGCTGTGTAAGCCACTAGGCTGTGGCTTAGGCTGCTGTGCTTAGGCTGTGGCTTAGGCTGTGGCTTAGGCTGCTGTGCTTAGGCTGTGGCTTAGGCTGTGGCTTAGGCTGCTGTGCTCAAGATTCCACAAATGCCCAAACTCCCCAGAGGCTTCAGCAGTGCTGCCTGGAGATCCTGGCTTCATGCTCTCCTTCTCCCTGTAACAGGTGACTATCTT